ACGGAACAGCCTAACGCCTGCGCAGTGCTTATCTTTCGAACAACTGTTCTAAATATTGAAATATCCTTCATTTTCATTGGCTATATTTTGCGCACGCACAGTACATGTATCTACTGCGCACGCTCACAGCTGTCCCAGTTGTTTACTCGAGACCTCGTAAATTAGCAGCATTGCAAGCGTTCTTTTGTTTATCCATTTATTTTTGAGATCTGTGGAACGTGCCGGACGGCTTTTCTGGCATAGACTCTCGAACAGCGGAATCGAAGCAGACGAAAAGAAGATCTGCACATTACAAGAATTTCAAGCCCCCTTAAAGCGGGTGTGACCCAAGAATGAAAGTTTTAGTGCAAAAAAATTTAAAAATAAATATTTAAACAGCATCTTGCTACGATGGTCCGTTTTCGAGTTAATGCGGTTTAAAGTTACAACTAGGTGTTGTGTTTTTGACGTCACACCGAATTATCAGGCACAGTATTAACACGTGTAAAATTTTCCAAAACAAAAGACAATTATCTCTCTAGCTAAAGCGAATTGCAACTACTCAAAATAGGGTAGGTTCACTGACGACTGAACGAACAGAAGACTGCGATTTCGGCGGTTGTGACATCACAAGTTCCTGCATAATTTATCTTCACAAGGAATTTTGTCGGAGACTATTTTGAATATAGGACTGCGGTTTTCACGAGAGATCTTAGATTTTTTTTCTTGATTTAAGTAGCTTAAGTCTCCCTTAAGTAAAGAAGAATTTAGAAGTTTCTTGGGTCTAGTTACATATCTGGAAAAATGTATTCCAGACCTGGCCAACATAACAGATCTCTGTTCAGCAACTCATAAAAAAGAGGTTGAATTCTTATGGACCGAACAACATCAACAACATTTTGAAAAACTTATTGTTACGAAACCACCAACTATGGATGTAAGCCAGTTTTTCTGACAATGTCATGTCACAGTCAAAATGAAAATGACGGTCACGTCATTAATTTTCATGAAACTCTTGTCATTAATTTTTTTATCGATTAAATTTTCTGACAGTCAAAATAGACCGTCATTAAAATATATGACCGTCATTGAAATATATGACAGTGTCACAAAAATATTAACTGACTCTCGATTTTTACTCTCAATCTTATGGAGGAGATGGAAGTGTACTTTCTAACTCATTAGATGACTTTGATGCTGATGACTGTGAAACTGAAGAAGAACTTTAGTCAACCAATCAGATATCTGATTTATTGATTTAAGTTATGTTATGTTCTACATTGACGGTAAATGACCATAAATGACAATAAATGACAAAAATGACAAAAAAATGACTGTCACTTATCATAAAAAATAAATGACCGTCATTTTACATCCCTACCACCAACTTTATCATTGTCCACTCGAAGAAAAAAAAAAATAAGACTAGTACCCGATGCGAGTCCGGGTGCTCTCCTCCTACAATTTGAATATCAAATACCAAAGGCAATCTCATTCGTCAGCAAAAGCCTATCTAATGTTGAACGAATATATACTTACAAACGGAAATTAAGTGTAGCGCTGTGTTCTGTGGAACGTTCTGTTTCCTATCTTGCTGGCTATGAACTGGTGAGATATCACAATTCCCTTGAAGCCATCTTTAAACTTTCTTACAAACCACCTGCTAGAATAGAAAGGTGGGTTCTCCACCTACAAGCGTTTAAATACAAAGAAATCTAACAAGAGGAAAAATATAACATCGCAGACTTGGTATCAAGACTGTGCAAAATAGAAAACAGCCAGAACTCGTTCGACAAAGAAGAAGAATAATACATATATACAACTAAACAACTATGAACAACTTGCGCTACAAGCTATGCATATATCCGATATGATTTACGCAATTAAATAAGACCCTGAAATACTAGAAGTTGTTGGATAGAGTCAACAACAATACAGGGTGTCCCAGGGAAAACAGTCCACCCCGATTTTGTCGATTTGGAATAAAAATCTGGAAAAACGCTCGGACACGTCGATTTTTGATTTGAGGGGGAAATATTTTTCAGTTTTTTTCCTCGCTGTAGCTTGAACCTCCTAGCTAGGGGGAGAACAACCCCCCAAATTTGAATAGGGGATCGGGGTCGTGTCATACATGCCATCCGTAACGAAATGACAGCTTGTCAAAATCTTGGAAATAGACTATTATTTTAGTAGGAGTAAAAGCGGTACTCATCACCTCCCCTTATAGAAATACTTACAATTTATAATTCTCGTGTACATTTATAATAATGATAAAAAACAATTTCAAGTATTTTTATTAAGGGAGGTACCTAAGTATCGCTTTTACTCCCACTAAAACAATAGTCTACTTCCAAAATTTTGACAAGCTGTCATTTCGTTACGGATGAAAATAATAAGACGAAATTCTAGGGCCATAAAGAACTCGATGAGACCTTTAAAAAGAGGTGTGACACGACCCCTATCCCCTATTCAAATTTGGGGAGTTGTTCTCCTCCTAGCTAGGGGGTTATATCTACGGGGGTGAAAAAAATTGAAAAACAGTTCCCCCACAAATCAAAAATCGACGTGTCCGAGCGTTTTTCCAGATTCTCATCCCAAATCCAATAAATCGGGGTGAACTGTTTTCCCTGGGACACCCTGTATATGTGATACTATTGGCAAGATCCATTAGTTTCTATATAGACTAGAATTTACTAAATTTGGTCCGGTATTATCTACGTAGAAATAAAATAACTATGCCACGTCAACACGTACTACAGTTGGCTTATGAAGGGCACAGGGCACCCTGGCGAAAGCTTGATGAAGAGAAGTTTACGTACCAAAATATGGTGGCCTCTATTCGACAGACGAGCCGAAAGGTTCGTCAAGGCTTGTAGAGCCACCACCTACCTTGGCAATATGTGGCAACTGACTTTGTGGGACCATTGGATCTGGTAATGGGCGACAGTTCGTAGGCCGCGAATTCAAGAAGTACCTACTGCAAAGATACTTAGGTACATTGAGTTGACTCACACACCGCCTTATTGGCCACAAGCTAACGGTTTATGGTTGAAAATTTTAGCTGTTCACTTGAAACGTTTACATGTCACACCGACATATTACATTTTAAAAATGAACTCCAAAAAATTATTCTGATGTACAATGTAATACCTCAAGGCGGCTCAAGGCACAACAGAGAATTCACCTTCGAAACTTCTTTTCATGAGAAGCTCCTTCAATAAAAATGACTTTTTTACGGAACATACAATTGATGAAGAAGAATACGATCATGATGTAATTATTAAACAAAAAATAAAGGAAAGGGGGACAAGAAGAGGCAAGCTCAAGATACCATGTTAAAACTTGGAGACAAAGTGCGTGCGACAAACAATATTTTCCCACAAACTCACAACCAAGTTTATACTTAATGCAGATGGATTAGATGCTATTCCTACTAATCCACCTGCAAACTGGACAACTCCTAATGCACGGGCTACGTAGATCACGGTGTCGGTATATCAGTACCCCGAACACCAGAAGAAAAGACACAAAAAGATAATCCACTAGAAGACCAAATTGAAGTCGAAGATTAACATGGCCCACTTCAACCTCTGATGCTGGAAAAAAGGACGGAATGTGGCAACCCGTTTGGGACTAGGGCGCGAGTGACGAAGACATTTGTGAATCAGCCGTTGGTAGCGTACACCTGATAACTCACAGTTCACGTAGATTACGCATCGGCGTAGCTAGCTTATTCTTCCTGGGGGGCTCAAGCCCCCAGTCAATAAAAAAAGAAATGAAATAGCGGCGCAGCTGAAATTTTTTTTGGGTTTCAAGCAGGGCCGATCCTAGGGTATCGGCCGCCCGCGTGCAAGGAACAATTGCGCCGCCTCCGCCCCATAGAGATATAGCATCCTTACGTAGGTGCTGGTGGTGGTAGCTCGCCGCAGGCGTCGCCGAAGGCGGAAAACCCTCTTGGGTGCCACGCCTAAAAGCGTTCATTTCGAGCGTCAAATGAAAGTTTTTGGGCATTTAGAGTTGAAAAAAACTTGTTTGGAACAACATATCAACATATTTGTTTTCTATGAGTTGTTTGAATGCGGATGAGTGGTGATCAATAATGACAAACACTATCCTAAACTAAGTAGGGCCTGGCTTGGGCCTAGGTACGAAAGTGAAAAATAGGGCCTTGCGGAAAATCAAGACCACCCAGTCCCTAGTGGTAATACTTACCTACATAACATACCCACCTGCACTTGGAAATCTTTGGTATGTATTTCCAAACTCAATTGGAATTAGGTACCAATTGGTGGCTGACTAGTCACTGAAAATTACCATAAGAAATGCACTACCACTAGTCAGCCACCAGTTATAATTTATGTTCACCTTGTTCCAATTAACTTTGGAAAAACTATATCAAAAAAGTTGGTATATTGTTAGCGGGAGTATTCATCTAGTTCTGTTGGACGGTTAATAATTATTCTACAAAATTAGGTGAATTGGGACAAAAATAAACATTTTGAAAAAACAAAGCAGAAGTATTTAGGAAATTTAAAAAATTATGCGATCTTATGATGGATGTGTACAGAGTTAAAACATTATGCGGGAGCCTACACATTGACTGTGCACTAAACTTTCTATTTATGCTATCAAGAGATCGGGGTTTATTTTCATTTTTTAGGAGTTTTTTAAAGTTCAGCTTATTTCTTTATTCTAATAATTCTGTCATTCAAGATTCAAGTAAAACTTTTTACGAATTTCTCAAAATAAAACTACTTCTAAGTAGTTTTATTATGAGAAATTCGTAGAAAGTTTTACTTGAATCTTGAATGACAGAATTATAGGCGGCCTGCGGCCGCCCCTAGATTTGGCCGCCCGCGTGCGGGGCTCGCGCTGCACACCTGCTGTACTCTTCAAGCAACATTAGTAGATATATGATTTGGTTAGTAATTTAGAGCCCTTCAAAAACGTATTGGGGTATATATTTTGACAAATGATTGAAATAATTCTTTATTCAGGTTCTTTTTTTGGTTTTATTGTGGTCTAGATCAGTGTTTTTATTTCACTATCTTGGGATTAAACTTATATTGCCTAGGCTAGGAACAATACTAAGATTTATGTCAACTAGCTTTTAACCTTTTTTTTTGTAGACAAGTTCTTGGAAGGTTAAAGGAACTTTTATTTAATTGAAACAGATTGTCAAAAATTCAATTCCCAATGAAGAGCTTTAAAAATCTTATATTCCCATAAAATTGCATATATTGTAATACTTTCTCTTCATTGGGACGTTATCCAAACAACCATACAGGTCATTTAATTTTAAACAGTCTCCTTTGGATAAGGCCTTTCTTTGACCAATTTTCTTGGAATGGTTCATTTTGGTTGTGATCGTAGGTTTACTCTTGCTTTTGCTGAAGAAGGTTTTTCCATAGTGCATAATGGAGTCGTAATCATACTCGAAGCCGTATGTAGTGTTGTCAAGGCTCTGTTTGTCAAAGTTTGACCTGAATCCTAAATAAAAAAAATATCGCAGTTTGGGTTTGCACAAACATTTACGAATCAAATAATTTACATAAATCCAACTGCTGATCAAAAGTTAGGGAACTAAGGTAGGTACGTATTATTTAAATAGTGCTGCAAATTTGAATTTTTTTTTACTTTATATCAGTATCATTTTTCAATTTGCGCCCTCATCCTAGTCTATCAATATACCTACATGAAATAGTCTAATCTATTTATAGGGCAGATTTATAAGTTTAATTGATTCCAAAATGTATTTCCCAAAATATAAATAAGCATATAAACAAAATGCAAGGTGTGATGAATTCCTGTGGTTTGAAAGTAGACACCGGTAAGTAAATTTTCAAGCACGACATCCTCAAGAATGGAAGAGATGAAAATCTGAGAAAGCAAATCAGAAATCAGGAGAATATACATCAGAGCTCTTGAATAGCCGCTTTTGATTAATAATATCTTCCTGGTATGTTTTTCAGAATTGCCGCCTCAAGATGACTGGCTGGTAGAAATTAATAAACCTGACGTTAAAATACTATCCTACATCTAGAACGAAGATAGTCTGCTTTAATCCAGTTGATGTCTTTTCACCATACTTCTTGAAAAAATCCTTGGGAAAAATTAATTTCAGTGGTATATTATTGCCATCTTTATTGAAACTCATAGCATGATTCAACGATATTGCTTCAGCTGTTTTAATAGATAGAGCATATTTCTTGAGACATAGGCATACGATATTTTCCTATTTGGTTTTCGCGTTCAGTTGCGGAGCCCGTTTGTTGTTTGTCAAAGCCAATAAATACGCAAATTACCGAAGATCCTTTGGGTAAGCAATTTTGAAAAACTTCGGAGATATTTGCAAAGCTGTTGAAAATATACGGTAGGTATAATGTATACCTAGGAGAAAACCCTGTAGTTGAATTTGATGTCACCAATATGATCAATATCTTGAAATTTTCTTACATATCTCCTTGTAGGTATATATAATGCTAATTGAGGGACATTTTCCATTGATTCTGTAGTAGGCGCAACCCCTTAAATGGCTGTGTTTCGGAATAACCTATCTATATTGCAGAAACACTAATTATTTGCCCGATTTAAATTAACCCCTTTGAACGTTTCATTTCTTTAACATGTGGCTTAAATCGGTAAATGCGTTCTCATATCAATAAATGTATTTGATATAAAAACACAAACCATGTCTTTTCTGAAAGAGATGGATAAAAGCAAGATCTTTGGGTATGTAGTGCTTTGATGGTCGACGGTGAAGCACAGGTGAACTTAAATCCGATGTAGGTATTAGCTAGAAAGGCGGTGAAAGATCACTATACATTTTTTTACAGTTCTCTAACTTTTGTTCATCAGTCAATTATTTGATTACCCAACAAAGTAGTGCAATAGTACTAAGCTTAAATGAGATTAACATCTTAACTTACTTGGAATTATGTTTTCTTCGTGAATCTTGACGAATTTATCTCTATCCCATCTGGATTGTTCGTGAAATACTCCGAGGGCGTGCATTAGTTCATGCATGGCTCTGCCTTCTGTCCCCAAACAATTTGGTCCATTTTTATCTGGAGGTTGAAGACTGACGATTTGTGATCCGCCGAATCTTCCTGAAAATTATTGTTTTTCTGTAAACTTGTAAAGCTTAGTTATTGCCTTAATGTTAGCTATTTGAATTATAATTTTTAATGCACGTCGGAAACAAAAGATTTAAACCACAATATAGGTCTCAGGTTTACTTACCAACAAATGACCAGCATCCCCTTGGATATTTTATTGGCCATATTAGAAGATAATCTTTACTTTTTCCATTCCAGGGCACAAATTTTATACAAGTCATAAAATTTAGTGTTTTTATAGCTTTTAGAATTGTAACTTGATCTGAGGGCTCTGAAAACAGAAAGACATTGACAATTTAGATAGTAGCTAGATAGGCCCATACTCTCAGGACCTTCTCACGACTGTCAAGATAGAATACATATAATCGCCTTTCTTTTGTGCAGACATTTTTCTCCAAACAATTCAAATCTGTAATCAGAAACGTCAAAAGTATTTAAAAATTATAGACTCACCATATAAAGGACTTATACTGTATGGTACTATTCCATTTTTCCACAATTTTTCAGGGAAAGCATCCCATTTAATTCCAACCCTCCAGTAGTTGTACAAGTCGTTGGTCAAAGCCATATCACCCTGGAACAAACCTGGACTCATCTCTGGGTCAATTTCACTATCGGTCAGATCTGAAGTCATATTAAGCATCTCAACTAAAATGTTTATAACTAATTAATGTACGGTAGAATTTTATAATTAAACGGGAGACTCGACGACATTCATTGTTCCAATGTATAGTTTCCGCCACATAGTTGATACTGTTTACATTTATGAAAAAAACTATAAAAAACTGGAGAATGACAAAGTAGCTCAGTTATTTTGCACAGGCCAACTGTGCAGGCCGATTTGCGCAAATTTATCTGTACCTGTGCCTCTCGCACACATGCTCAGTTTTTAGCACAGTTTTTTCCACACAGGACGAAAAGCGGATATTTTTGTTTTAAGGCACCCACAGACGCTCAGTTATTTTGCACAGGCCGACTGCGCAAACCTGGTTTGTGCAGGCACGTCTGTGGATATTTCCGGCCGACTATGTAGGCCGTTAACCTGGAGTAAATTCAAGATCCGCTTGAAATTTGGACAGCACAAACCATTTTCACTATAAAGAAAAAACATCCTTGACTGAGCGTGTGTGGGAGAGGCACATGTACAGATTAATTTGCGCAAATTGGCCTGCGCAGTCGGCCTGTGCTAAATAAATGAGCGTCTGTGGGGGCCTGTACAGTGAAAATGGTTTGTGCAGGCCAAATTTCAAGCAGATCTTGAATTTACTCAGACCAGGCCAATGGCCTGCACATTCGACCGGAATTATCCACAGACGTGCCGATACGCTTGCGCAAACCAGGTTCGCACAGTCGGCCTGTGCGAAAAAACTGAGCGTCTGTGAAGGCCTTCACACACGCTCAGTTTTTAGCACAGTTCTTTCCAAACATTTGGACAAATGCAGTTGAAACGCATTTTTTTTTCTACAGTGAAAATGGCTTCTCGCAATACAGCTTTGTCTTGTATTCTGCTCGCTTGTGCAATAAAGAAGTATACCTACTTCATAGGCAGCCGATTTTTTGTTCCTATCACTATAGTCCTTACTTTTTATTTTCCATAAGCATGGAAAGGTTTTGTATATTCCTATAGAGTCGAATAGAAATTGTTTGCTTGCGTTCGACATTTTGTTTATTTGGAATGCTATTAATAGACTGACTAGATAAACTGAAAAAATGGACTGAACACACACACACACACACACAAACATACACGCTTAGGCCTGTTGGTTTGCGCAGGCCAAATTTACCATACAATATTATCATAATAAGTGTGAGACATTATTTAACAACATTTTCGATAAAAATACGATTTTAATGCAAAACCTGACGTTTTTCGACTCTAACAAAACATCTTTGATTCGATCATGTTCTTTTCAGCCTTCTTCATTCATTGGTTCATTTCTCCTAACGGCCATAATAATCGAATCTGTATTTTTAATGAGTCTGCAACTGCTAAGATGGATTTCTTGTGATTCAGGCTGTGCTTGTGAGTTAGTTTTTTTGTCGATTTTAAATGTAGAAAAGGTGATTTTTAAGGTTTAGGAACTCGTTTTTGTTAGCTATAGTGTTTCAAACTCGGATAATGCATTTTATCAAGAGTTGAGGTCTGCCGTTGACGTCACAAACAGTGGGGAGTAGTCACGTGGACATGACTCAGACACTTTCAGATCAATAGGCCACTGGCGTAGCCAGGGGGGGGGGCAAAGGGGGCATTTGCCCCCCCCAAGACCCTTAAATTTTATGAATAATTCTTCAAAATTAAAATAAACAGTCCCAAAAATAGCGTAAAGAAACCTAAAAAAGGGGCGTGGCTCCCAAAAATTTCGGCTTTGCCTCCGGCAGCGGTCGCGGTGAGGCCGCAAGAAACACTTCCTGCAAATTTGCCCCCCCCCCCCCAAGACAAAATCCTGGCTACGCCACTGCAATAGACAGTTCTACTAGGTTAAGTGTTCTTGTCGTCAGCCATGTTATTGTCTCTTCTCCATGAAAATCTTAACGAACTTCAATATTTTTCTACAATTCTAACTTGGTACAAGAAGCTTAGGTACTTTTTTTTGACGAAATTTTATCGAGACATCTTGATCTAAGGGACTATAGCAGATCTGGACCTGTTAGTAAGTTGGCGTTTAGACTTTTAGAGATTAAATTTTTGCTACCAAGGAACCCACATGATTTGAAAAATATATAAGATAGGTAGGTACTTCATTTTTTGATATTCTTTGATTAAAGGACAAGTTTTTATTTAAGGTAATTAGCTTTTCTATAGTGATACTTGGATGACCAAAATGCATCTTCAAAGTGATCAAAACTTGTTGAATATTTTCTGGAGACAACATCGATGCTGATAATACTTGCTTTGCCTGTCCTTTCAAAAATTTATTTAACATTAAATTAACTAAATTTACTTTATTCGAATATTATGTAGGTTTTTGAAATGTGGTCGAAACTGGAATAAAATACTGGCCACTCTTCAGGGTTTCCATCAAAGTGAGGAAAACCTCTCAAAATGTGTGCTCATAAACTTTTCGTGTTTTTGTCCATAGAAAACTTTGTAATTTATTGACATGATATTTTAAGATCTACAAATTCTTCGTTTGGCTTTTTATGTAGGGTTTGGCTATCTATTGGAGGTTCAACTTCATCACTATAAACTGGATTTTCGGGGATAATACCACGAGAGCTTCAAAATTAGCGATAATTTTTCACGATTCCGTGTTTTCTATAATTTCACGAGTCCGTAGGACGAGTGAAATTTACAGAGAAAACACGCAAAAAGTGATCTTTCTGTTTCTTTCTAATTTCACTTTTTATAGAAAAATGTTTGGATTATTTTCTTTTACTTTAACAATGACATACAGAATACTGACAATGATAAAACATGACAAAGAATATTAAAAAAATACCAACAGGACAAATATAAAGGAACTCAGCATCATCGATCATCGATGGTGTTCACTGGAAGCGAAATGAAGTTTCCCGTAGATCTGATGATTGGAAAACCACCAGCTGATGGAGATAAAACTGTACTTCTAGTCTACATGCCTGATCTGCAGGACGGGCTCAGAATTGTTAAAGTTTCGCCATACGTGAGGGCAGTGAGAGAAATAAAATGAGACTCGACATACGACAGTCATTGAACACTCCCAATAAAGGCGATGCCATCTGGTTGTGTCAGCCACAGCGGAGGAAGAACTATGCCCGAAATTAAAAAGGCCTTCGAAAAGGTCATATTGTTGTGTACAATAATTACTTGGTGAACAGGACTCAACTTTCTCCGAAAGTTGAGCCAAAGGTTGTGAACGTAGAAAGACTGGATGTGATCAGTGCATCTCTGGCGAGCTAACACAAGTTAGCCCGTTTACCCAATTACGCCCAAGTTGAACCACGTTAACTCAAGAAAAAGGTGGTTTAATAAGTTTTTCTACTGTTGAGCTCACAGACAGAACAGAAATAAATTTTACCTCCTAACATTTTTGTTATCCTGATACGTAAGTTAGTGAGTATAAAAGTGTTTTTTTTTTAATATAAGTTTTTATACCGTTGAGCATTCGGCTTGATTCCTTGGCGTGCCCTTCGGGTGGCATTTAAACGATTTAATTTTTGAATAATAGTTTTCGAAATCTCTTCCATTGAAGGAGTTCTCATGGGGTTATCCTGATAGAAATTCGAAAATTTCGGAATTTCCAGCAATTTTGGGTATAAGTATAAGTAACGGTTAAACCATGAATAACTGATAAACCAATCATTAGCATTAGAATTCGAAATAGATTGTTTTCAGCATGTCAACTGTTTAAGCCCTTTGAAAAAGAGTTGATAGCGTTTTGAAGCTGTCCGAGGATAAGAAGTAGAAATTTCATTTGTGTAAGTTTGAGAATTTATTGATCTTTTGAATTGGTCTAAGTGACATACGGCTCTGGCATTCGGCCTTATCGATTATACCAATCATCTTCTAAACACCAAGCCTGGTCTGATGGTTCCATAATTCGCTATATTGTCAAAAATTCTAAACTGAAAATTTACGAAAGATCCCGTTTTGTTTTCTTATTTTTCAACTATAAATGTTCAGAGAAAAAAAATGTCTAGGAAAAACTGACCAAGAATTTGAAAAAAACGAAAAAATTGCTTTTTTCGTGGAAATTTGCATCATATTTTTATCGTTAAATAATTTTTATCAATTTTCTGGATGTGTAGTTTGTTAAATATTGTAAAAAATCTTATTTATCTACGATGTTTCCTTGAGTTTTTTTCAATTTGAACAAGTGAGTATGGATCCTTATATTAGTTATATACATACTTCCCCCCATTTTGAAAAATTTGACAACTGACAATTGATATTTTGGAAAATTATATCTTGGAAATATAAATTTAACATTTTTCATAGAAGGATAATAGGGAATACGAGAAAGTTAAATATTTCCGCCAAAATACAAATGCTTATATGTATAATAAGTACATTAAAAAATACATGAAATAGCGGTTTAAATTTCAATTTTATCTACAAAATTGACAAGGTTAGAGCTGCAAGCTACTCCTCGGTGTCACCCTACGTGGATCTCAATTCACAACTCAAATTTAAAAAAATCATCGATTTTTGAAAAAACCTTAATATCAAATATTATTCAATAAAATAATGTAGGTATTGAAGTTAGTTACTATTTACCATGGTCTGGTAATGGCGGATGAATCGCATCGGGAACATAGGGGAAAATATATCGAGCAAACACGCGATACTCTAATTTACAAATTGTCACAACTATAAATACTACCGAAGAAACCGATAACTTTCGCGCCTGCAACATCGTCAGTATGACTGACGCGAAGACCTTGACTTTACTCTTCCTTCTTTATTGTGGATTTGATTGCAGATCGTCCGCTACATATAACAAATTCACAATAATTGCAATTTGTTTATTGTTTACCAGGTGCCAGCATTCTAGCAATAAAACTATGTATCTATATTTTCTGGAAAAGCCTTGGCTATAGCCAGAACTGGGATTTGTTGTCATCGAGGATAGGGACCGGTAATATAGAATAGGTTTGGTAATATGAAAATATTATACTAGTACCAATAGTCTTGGCGAAATCTGTCAGATGCTCATGAATTTACCTGACTGTCTGTCATAAAAGCGAATACTAGCTAGTGCGGCTAGTATTCGCTTTTATGACAGTCAGGTAAATTCATGAGCATCTGACAGATTTCGCCAAGACTATTGGTACTAGTATAATATTTTCCATTCCAGTGGCGTTTCAAGAGTTTCTGATTTGCTTCTGTTGATTGTTGTAGTTTTGAGAAATTGAGCAATGATCGACGGACGCTACTTAGGCAAATATTTTTTCAAAATCGCATTCCAGATTGCAGAAATGCCCATTATGGAAAAGATACTATTCCATATTATCCGACATTCTCTTTTTATATTGCTTTTGGGCCGCCACCTATATATATTTTGCCGCTAGTGTAGGTATTTTTCCGATAAATTCAACCCATAATCTTCTGTTTATGTTTCACATTGTTATTTCAGTTCTGGTTTTAGCGTAGCATTTGCCATATTATCCTCCATTCACATTTATTTGGCACCCCGTCCTCCTTGGAGTTTTGTCAGATTTACACTCGTATATAATGACATATGACATGTTGAATAATTTAAGGTTATACATTTTGACAAATTAGAAAAGCAATATTTTCAAAATACATAGGTATATTGAATATATCTGAGTACCTATGTTTTTTTCAATTTCAAACCATGAAAAAAAGATATCAGAGCGAAGTACAGGGTGACTCAGAGTAAATTTCCCTTTTCGAACGCGTTCTGTACATCCAACTTATTATTTGTGGAGCGCCGGCAATTTACGCCGACTGCGGATCTCAGTAAACATGGAGCAGTAGTCGAACAAGCAACGCGCGTTTAGGTTCGAGGCGTTTTTTAAATCAAACGATTCCTATGTCGCGGGACGGCGACGTTTTTGTAACCGTTACAATATTCGGCGTATACGTAATACTCCGTCAAAGGATTTATTGAAATTATGGGTTCAAAGATTCAGATAAAGTGGTTCAATGGCAAAGCCGAAGCGTCCCGGCCAACAGAAGTCCATCAAAACGCCAGAGAACATTGGAATTGTGCGACGTGCTGCGACCGAAAATCCGAGGCGCTCAATTTGAAAACATGGTGGGACGCTTCTGATTTGTCAATTGCCACTGTACCACTTTGAATCTTTGAATCCACGATTTCAATACAGTTCTTGACGTAGCGTCACGTATACGCCGGATATGGTTACGGTTACAAAAACGTCGCCGTGGCGCGACATAAGAATCATTCGATTTTAAAAACGCCTCAACCATGAACGCGCGTTGCTCGTTCGACCACTGCTCCATGTTCACTGATAATCAGCACGCAGTCGCCGCATATTGCCAGCGCTAACCTCCCCACAAATATTAAGTTGGATGTACAGGGCGCGTTCGAAAAGGGAAATCTACTCTGAGTCACCCTGTATAACTGTATAGGTTATAGATAGGCACCTATTGATTTTATTTTATTCTATTTTACTTAAATAAAAAAAACAAATCATTAGCACATTCTATCTTATTGGCATAACAGTAATTATGCTTTATTATCCAAATATACAATTTGATACTCATTGGCTAATCCACCTTATAATATAGGTACTTAACATAAAACTAAAAACAAATAGATCTCCATTGGAATGGGGAGGGGTGGATGATGTTGATGATGATGATGATGCGTCCATGGCCCAACAGGCTTAGATTATATGTACATCATGAGCAATCTGTTGTCCAATTTCAGATCCCCCCCTTCTCGCGTTAATAGGCTTGTTACGATTTCAATATTTTCGTACCAGGAGTCTCATTTTCGAATATTTTCGCATACGAAATTTGATACGATTTCGAATACTTCCCATTTAATTTACATTGCTGTCAATCAAATTTCGTGTACGAAATGTACTCGAATGGTTTCGAAAATTGCACCCCAGGAAGTTGATTCTCGAAGTGATTCTATTTTGCTATAAATTTACCCAGTCCCTATAATTTCATCTGCAGAATTAGACTTCCTTGGATTCAGATAACATTTCTGAATCGGATTCACCAAGAGAAACGATGATAGGAGTATTTTCAAAAGATAAGTTCCCCATGTGACCACCTTCCTTAAAAATTTCGTCCATCACGTATCGTTTTGATGAGCCCCGGTAAGATTTTATCGAATCTCATAGCTGTTTTTTGTCATGTTTATGTCAGAGCTTATGTCATGTCAAACCATTTATTTCTGCATTGGGTGTTTTTTCGAACAGAATGTGGAAGGTTTACCAGCTTGCTCTGAGTGTTATGGAGCGCCGTCGATGATTACTAGAAATTTCTTTTCAAGCCGATACAATAGATACAGGAATAATAAAGTTGATTAACGACACACTTTTTGAAAATGTCAGCGTTCATAGAGGTGTGGTAGTCTCTGTCATTGATTTTGAGTCTACAAAAAGTCCCACCCATCTTAAAACCCTGAACTACACCTCGCATGGAATATGGCAAATCGTTTCCCTCTAATGATAATATAGATGGGTTTCTATTGTACCTTTCATCCTGCTGGTAAATTCAGGTTTCCTGCTCAAAGCAGGCCTTCTACTAGGATATCCAGTTATTCCAGAGATGAAATATCTTCTAACTGTATGAGGTGACGTCCCATATTCTTCATTCTTAAACGAGTAACCGCATCGCAGTTCAATAGAAGTGGCGAGGTGTCTGTTCTCAATCTTTACAAAATTTTCTGGTACCGCTTTCTTCTAACTCCAATTTCCGCAGGTGGTGCTCAAGGTTGCTAGGGATAGAGTTTTGATATTTTTCCTGCCAAGGTTGACCAGCAGTCTGATCTTTTTTGGTTAAAGTTGCCCTATAGATCCTGTCCTGCCGTAATGCTGGCTGTTCTACCCATTGTTTATTCCTTAGTCGGTTCTCTTCCTTTTTGAGGATTTCTTAGATGTTTGCATTTCCGATGTCTCAGAATGGTTCTGGCCTAGAGAAGGGAGTAGAAGCTTGGCCCGAATACTTCTGCTTCAGTTCCCTCAGAAGTTTTGGAGCCGTCCTTATACCATTTGATGGAGTTTGATTTCAAGGACTGAATACATGTTCCATTTGTTCTTAGTCTCAGTTCGATGGAAAAGCTTTTCCTGAAGCTGAATTTCTCGATCGTATCTTTTGGTAGATCCATAAAGTATGCACAGTTTGGGAAATGAAAAGTACTGCCAAAATGCAATTTCCCTTGAATACCGATCATCGCCAGTCTAAGATATGATCATCTGGCAGTCCGCTTCACTAATATGTGGAGTGGTGTGAGGGCTACGATGACTTCTGGTGCCGCAGTTGGACATTATATCATTGCTCCTGTTATACAGAGACAGGCAAGGCTTTGCACTTTTCCTAGCGGTTTCCTAGGTTAACACCTAGATGGAAGGGCCGGTTTAACCAGGGGTCTTTTGGGTGCAGTAGCACCGGGCGGCAAAATCTTAGGGGCGGCGCGCGAAGCGCGTAACAACCCTTAAAATTTCAATGTATCCTCTTTATTATTACGTTTTTATTTCTTGAACCATAATACGAAAAATCAAAGCAAAGAGCTACAAGTTAGTTTAAGGATTACTACCCATACGTCTAGAAAAAATAAGTAAGTACGATTACACCCGTCTCTATAGCCATGCCCAGCTCTACTTAAATTCTGTGGGGGCCGATTCTCGGGCCAGGGAGTAGAGCTCCCTGAGAGAATAAATTTTTTGTCTTTATCATTCCCGTTTACTTTTCGATAACGTTGACAAGAACAAAAAAGTTCGTTCTATCGGGGAGCTCTACTCCCTGCCCGAGAATCGGGCCCCGGACGATAACAGATAATAGTCAGCTCGCATCTCACTTCAATTATTCATTTCAATATAATATTAGTATTGTTTGGCGGTGGCGTCGTTGCGTAATAAATATATAGCTACAGGCTGTCCCTGGGAAAACAGTTGACCCCGATTTTTTCGATTTGAAATGAAAGTCGGGAAAAACGTTACGATACGCCGATTTTTGATTTGAGGATGAAATATTTTTCAGTTTTTTTCATTCCCGTAGCTTCAATCTCTTAACTAGGGGGAGAACAACCCCCCAAACTTGAATAGGGGATAAGGGTCGTGTCACACCTCTTTTCAAAGGTCTCATCGAGTTCTTTATGGCCCTAGAATTTCGTCTTATTATTTTCATCCGACACACACAATTTACAATTCACGTGTTCACCTGATTAATAATAATGATGAAAAACTTCAATTTCAAGTGTTTTTATTAAGGGGAGGTGAGTATCGCTTTTACTCCCACTAAAACAATAGTCTATTTTCAAGATTTTGATAAGCTGTCATTTCGTTACGGATGAAAATGATAAGACGAAAATCTAAGGCCATAAAGAACTCGATGAGACCTTTAAAAAGAGGTAGGACAGGACCCCTATCCCCTATTCAAATTTGGGGGGTTGTTCTCCCCCCAGCTAGGGGGTTAAAACTACGGGAGTTAAAAAACTGAAAAATGGTTCCCCCTCAAATCAGAAATCGACGTGTCCGAGCGTTTTTCCAGAGTCTCATTCCAAATCCCATAAATCGAGATGGACTTTTTTCCCTGGGACACCCTGTATAAAAGAATTGAATACATTTTTTGAAATAAATGCTCCAAAAAAATTGTTTTGTTTTTTTCCGAATGGGCGGGGGGCAAACTACCTTAAACCGGCACTGCTAGATGGGTTCGGCTATGGTAAGTTCCCGCTCCGTAAG